TGAATTTCGAAAATTTTTGGAAAATAACTGAATCGTTTTAAAGAATTTGATAATAATTTTTTAGAATAGTTTTTTGATTTCTAGTATTAGCGAATTTAAAGTAGTGGAAATTCTAAAAAAAACAGAAATAGTAGCTTTTAGTGGCTGAAATCTAAAAAAAGTACCCAAATAGTAGCATAACGTAAAAAAGTAATAAATAATAGATTTTAGTAGATGAATGCGAAGCCTGAAATTTTTTCTGCAATATATCGTTTTTGTTTTCAACTCGCATTTGGTTAAATATGAAAAATATTCTTCGATAAAACTTCAATATTCTTAAACACTATATATAATTCTAAAAGTGAAACAGTATTTGAAAAGTTTTCAATTCTTTTGCCAATGCAAAGTATTTGGAGTTACAAAAATAACAAACACTGTCTCTATATTACTTAAATCATTTTTTTCTTTTCTTTTTGTTAAGCGACCTTCATTTATTTGTTTCTGCAATATATTTATGTATTTTCTCTTGTTTTAAGTTTATATAATTCATATTATGAATATTCTCATCTTTTTTCTTCTATTTTTGTTTGTTCACATTTTTTTTCATTATTGTCCTCCATTTTTTTTCACTATATTTATAATATATTTCGTATTTTTACAAAATTATAAATATACTTCAATGAAGTACAGATATCAAATATCTGTAAGTATCAAGATATAAAATCTTGTATTTTTTAAATGTATTTCTTTTTTTAATTCATAATTTTTTTCTGAACAGTTCCTCAAGTTCTAAACATTCAACTGCGTTCAAATTAGCGTCGACGCTGAGCATCGAGAACAATTTTTTTTCACGAAATCGAAAGAAATGCAACAATTGTTTCAAAGGTTTAAGGCTAAAAAGTGGTTTTCTAATTCCCAAATTGAATGAAAAAGTGAAATTACTGACATTTTTATCTCTAAAAATCGCAAATAATAGTTTTGCGTCGCTGAGCGTCGACGCTAATTTCAGGGATCTAACGAAATTTATTTGTTTCTTCTTCAAATTAAAATTTGATTTAAATAATTTTGGGCAACATATTGAAAAATATTAATTAAAAATTTTCTAAACGGTAAATTTAGTTTTTTTAAAATTTTTATTACAATCGGTAATTTATAAAAATATTTTTAGAATAAAAAATATTTCCTTCATTTGAACGTTCAAAAATGGATCATCTTCAAAGTTTTTACGCAAACAAGTTTTTTTTAAGAGAAAAGTTTTAATGTTTTAATGAATTTTCAGTTAGTAAAATTTTAATTTAAAAGAAATTGCGAGTAAGATGAATTTTTAAATGCCAGAATTATCACTTTATCGAATCTTCATTTGTCTTTATTTTTACTCTTTACTAATTGTCATTTAACAGAATTCTTAAAGCGTCAAATTTTCAAAGTATTGAATTTGCTTCAAAGAGGATTAATAATAACAAAAATTATAATAACAATAAAATATTAATAAAATATCCAACAGAATTCTTAAAGCGTCAAATTTTCAAAGTATCGAATTTGCTTCAAAGAGGATTAATAATAATAAAAATTATAATAACAATAAAATATTAATTTAAATATCGTTTTTTCCAACATTCTAAACAATAAAATAATAGAATTATTTAAAATTCACTATAATTATTAGTATTAGAAAAAAAGATTAAGTAATATCACAGCGTTTTTAAAAACTAATATGAAAATTAATGTCACGATATACTTATTATTTCAGCATCAAATTTTAGTTATTTATAAGTAATTGTCTTCTAGGAAAAAGTTAATTCTTTAAATATTTGGCCACATTGAATTTTTCGTTTTGAAAAAAAATTAATTAAACTTTATCAAAAAAATTAATTCTACAGAATTGTTAAAAGTATGAAAAATTAAGATAATCAAATATTTTAATTTGAAACCTTTTCAAAATTCATGATATAATGATTTCAATATTCAATTACTATCTAAAATTTTATCTGGAATTCATTTTTATATCAATTATTATTGGAAAATTCTACGAGAATTCAATTCAATAAAAAATTATGGTAGAATAATTCCAAGAATTATTTTTTTAAAAATATTCTAGTGTAATTTTTCGAAAAAAATTGAATTTCATAAAAGAATTTCTGTCTATTTTAAAAAAACTAATTAATTTTTTGCATTTTTAACTACAAATTTAGAAAATGAATGTCTTTTTTCAAAATGTTAAAAATAATTGTAAAAATTTTTATTTTATTATTTTTTGTATGTATTTGAATTACCTGGAAATATGTAATTGAAAATATTCAAAAATAATTGAATTTTAAAAAACTTGTATAAAAAACTTCTGAGAATTGCTTTTTTCAAAAATATATTTTAAATATAATTTTTAGAAACTAATTTTCATTAATATTCATTTTTCAAATTTACACTTGAAGATTTTTCATTAAAATTTTTTGGAGAATATAAAGCTGAAACTGCGGCACCCATTTAATTTTGAAAATTAAATTTTGTAATTAAATATTTTTATCCTTTAAAACCAACACAATATTTTGAAAAATTAAATGAGTGGTGATAGCTAGGTGCAATTATTTTCAGCTTGATTTGGATAATTCAATTATTTTCAAAATTTGCAATTAAAATTCTTCAAAAGTTGATTTTTAAAAATCTTTATAAATTACTTGAAAAAAATTAAATAGTTTCAATTAAATTTTACAAAATTTTAATTATTTCTAAAAATTCACGCTACAATGCTTTAAATATTCAATTATCTAAAATTTTACCTGAAATTCATTTTTAAATTCATTTTTATTAGAAAATGCTACGAGAATTCAATTTTATTAAAGGACAAAAATAAATACTTTATTGAATAATTGAATATTTCTTAAAATTGAATTGTCATAAAGAATCATATCAAACAAATTTTTGAATAATTGAATTCTTTAGATGAATTTTAATAAAATTATTATTTAATAAAATTATTTAATATTTAATATTATTTAATAAAATTATTCAAGGAATTTCGATTAAAATTGTATTAAAAATAATTGAAATTCTCCGATGAGTTATATTATTTATGAAAATAATTGAATCCTTGTAAAAATTTGTAATATTTATGAAAATAATTGAATTTTTGCGAAGAAATTTATTACCTACTTTTGAAAATAATTTAGTTCTTCCAACAAATTTTATTCAAGTTTATAAAAATAACTGAATTTCTATGAAGAATTTTATTATTTATATAAATAATTGAATTCTTGCAACGAATTTTATTCAAGTTTATAAAAATAATTAAATTTCGGTGAAGAATTTTATTATTTATAAAAATAATTGAATTCTTGAAAAGAACTTTGTTAAATTTTTTTAAATAATTGAATTCTTATGACGAATTTTATAAAAATCTTTTAAAATAATTGATATTTTTCGAAAAATTTTATGAAATTTTGTATATTAATAATTGAATTCCTGTGAAAATTTTATTACTTATGAAAATAATCTGAATTATTTCGAAGAAATTTGTTAAAAATTTTGTAAATAATTGAATTCCTGTGAAATTTTGCCAAGAATTTTATTACAATTTTTAAAAATAATTGAATTTCGAAGAAGAATTTTATTATTTATAAAAATAATTGAAATTTTGACGAGAATTTTTAAAAAATTTTTGTACATAATTGAAATTCTGCGAAGAATTTTTATAACTTTTGAAAATAATTGAATTTCTGGAATCATTTGTAACTTTTCCAAAATTCAATTTTTTTTTTAAGTATTTTTAACTAAAATTCTTCTATTAATCTAATATTTATGAAAATTGTAAAAATTATTCGTTAAATTTAATAATTTCTAAGTAATAATTTGATGATAGTTCTTGAAAAATGAAGTTATTTAAAAAGAAATTATTGTCAGAAATAGAAAAAATTGAACGTTTTGTATTAAAATTCGTGGTAATTTCATATTTTACGAGGTAAACAAAAAAAAACATCAAAATTCAGAGTTTTCTCATGAATTTTAAAAATTCAATTTTTTCCAGTACTTTTACTAAAAATCCCTGACTTTTCCCTGATTTCCCTGACCAATTTTACTTTCCCTGACTTTTTCAAACTATAATAATCAAAATAAGTTGCCATTTTTATACTAAAAATGTAAAGTGCTATTATTTTGTTGCAATATTTGGAAGAACAGCCTAAAGAGTCGCAATTTTTCATAAGGCGAAAAAAGTCGAAAAAGCAGTATTTAAGTAATTAAGTAATTAATAATTAATAATTTTTTTAAAATTTACTAACATGGAAATTAGATACAAATTTAACTTCAAAAGAAAATAATTTATTTTTCGTTTCAAAAACATTGCGGACTTTTAGGCTCATCTTTGAAATATTTTCTTTAAGTATCGATAAGGAACTGAAAATTTATTTTTTTTAAAAATATTTTTAATATTCACTTTCAATAACTATCGCCGGCGATATTTTCACTACCTTCACACATTAGGAAACAACTTCACGTTTCTCCTACTTCTATATTATATATATACATATATATATATATGTCCATCCTTTATGCCAGGAATACGAAAAATGCAAATTTATTCCAACGAAAGATAAAAATAATTAACATTGTTTTTACCTGAATTGATTTTTCAAAAAAAGCCAGAAAGAAACGAAACCTCAAAAGTTGAAAAAGTACAAAAAAGAAATTTTACGAAAAAAAGCTTTCGCATTGCTGAAGTTTAATTTTTCAAAAACATGTTTGTAGCGTGTAATCAATAATTTTTTTTTGCTATTTAATTCTAAAAAGAAAGGGAAATTACTTTTTCCTGGAAAAATTTAACTAGATAATTTACCAAAAGAAATGAAAATTGACAGTTAGAAAATCCGAAAAGGACATAAGGTCAATAAAATAAAACACAGATGCAAAATAAGACTCCTAATGTAGAAGTGAGAGAAAAGAGTGTATGTGTGAAAGGGGGATAAAAAAAAGAATAATTGTCGATAAGAGAAAAGATTGAAAAGGAATAAAAAAGAGGAAAAAAAACTTACAACAGGTATGTGTCCATTTGCAGGATGGTGTAACTGCATCGGGGGTGCCGGTTCACCTGCACCCCCGCCCCCACTAGCAGCGCTTCCCGCACTTAGCCACTTCATAGTCTCAAATATACAAATGACACTGGTTCACTGTTAAATTCTCTCAATTTTTCCACGCAGAGATTAATTTCACAATTCTCCCTTCGAACAATGGATTAAAGTTGGTAAGTTTTGCTCGGAGAGAAACGCGAAACGAAGCGAAAACAATATACACGAAATAAAAGAAACTAACACTCGCGAGAGGGCGCAAGAATGGGAAATTATTTTTTTAGGTTAGCCTTGGATATCGTAAAAATTCTCTTTCTCTCTCTCTCTCTCTTTCGAAGAAAAAAAAAAAAAAACTCGCGAAATATGCACAAAAAAACCGGCACGGCGTGCTAACTAACGAAATTTCATGGAGGGCCACACATCACCTTTTGACGTCTTTTGATTATTTCCAACAAATTTTTCCTTCCCGATTTTTTCCCTATCTCCCGGAAAACTGAAAATTTTCCCCTCTCCACCACCAATCCTGTGTTTTCTATTCTTTCGCAAAAATGGTTAAATTTCTTTTTTTTAAAAAACAATTTCAATCTCAAAAGATGCGAGCACGAAGCGAGTGGGCTATTCGTCGGCGTTTTAAAGTTTTTCTTGGCGATGGCCTCGAATCAACATTTTCTCATGGACACTTGTGTGAGAGGATAGAATCACGAAAAACTGAATCCGATTTTGGAAATTCCGATTATTTTTTGATGGATTTTGAGAAAAAAAATGGCTCTTTAATGCTTTTTTTGGGAGGGGGGAGGGTAATATTAAACTATTGTTTAAAAACTCTTAAAATACACTATACACAGGTATATATACACAATAAAACAATTCGAGTCGAGTTACGCGTCTACCAAACGACGACCGGTGGCTGGCTGATTTTTACCGCGCTCGTCACTTTCGCCAATGATTTTTCGGGGACAATACCAACAACTTAATTTTTCTGTTTTACAAGTTGATGTCGTTGTGACCGTCAGGCTGGAAACGACGACGACTGACAAATACCGACATACTTTTTTTTTTGCCGCGCCGCTGTCGCCGCCAATTAACATTCGAGCCGATTTTGCAAACTCCTCCATGAACCAACGAGTTTGCAGATGTAGTGGTGATGAAACCAGTGATATACATATACATACGATCTGGATTCGTAGCAGCTACTAGTGCAGGTCTTGAAACGAGTGAGAGAGAGGGCAGCTCGGTGTACTTCTCTCCTTCTCTTTTCAGCTGCTTTCGAGACAAGGAGAGTTTTAAGGTCTATACACAATGGCTTCGCGAACGCAAAGCATGAGTTAGAAAAGGATAGCGATATATTTCTGTCCTCATTATTAAACAAAATAATTAAAATATAAAACTTTTATTTAAAATTTTTATTTATTAATAAATAAAAATAGATGAGAATAAATAATTTCATAACAATATAATTTCGTTAGAATAATAAATAAAATAAAAAAATTATTAAAATATTAAACAGTACATAATATTAATAAATAAAAATAGATAAGAATAAATAATTTCATAACAATATAATAATAATAAAATAATAATAATAATAATAATATAATTTCGTTAAAATAAATAACTTAATACTGTTGTAAATAATAAAGTAATTTTTTAAAAATAAATAAATAAATGGGCTACACAATTAAAAGAGTTCGAACTCAATAATTAATTTTAAAAAAATAGCTTTCAACATAAAAAAAGTAGCCATCGAAAAATTAAACTTGAAGACCAAAAGAACTCGTTTTAGACACTTCACAAAGCTGACAAAAATTTTATTCTATATTTTATTTTTCTGACTTTTTTCTAACTTTCATAAAAAATATTTACCACTTTCTTTTCCTATTAACAAACTGAATTTCTACAACGAATTTTATTGTTCATGAAAGAATTTAAATATTTATAAAAATAATTTAATTTTTGTCAAGAATTTTATAAAAATTTTATAAATAATTGATTTCTTTCGACTAATTTTATGCAAAGTCTAATTTAAATATTTGAATTCATGAAAATTTTTTTTTATTCGTGAAAAGAATTGAATTCTTACGAAGATTTTTACAAAAAATTTCTTAAATAATTGAATTCTGTTTGGAAATTTTATGAAAATATGTAGATATTAAAAATCATTGAATTGCGAAAAGTTTATAAAAATAATTAAATTTTACAAATAATTCTATTAAAATTTTTTTAAATTATTGAATTTCCAAGAAAAAATTTATTACTTTTAAAAATAATTAAATTCTTCCGATGAATATTGTTATTTATGCGAATAAATTGAATTTTGGCAAGAATTTTATTAAAATGCCTCAAAATAATTGAATTTTCGGGAATAATTTTGTTGTTTATCGACATAATTGAATTCTTTTGAAAAATTTATTATTTATGTAAATAATTGAATTCTTGGGAAGAATTTTATTAAAATCTAAAAGAATAATTAAAATATTTTTAAAAAATGTAATTAAAATAATTGATTTCTTTAGAACAATATTTTTAAAATATTTAAAATCAATTTATTTCCTGTGAAAAATTCTAATATTTTTGTAAATAATTGAATTCTTTCAAAGAATTTAAAAAAAACATTTTTTTAAATTATTAATTTTTTCGTGGAAATTAAATTAAATTTTTAAGTATAATTACATTTTTGAGCAATTCCTGTAAAATTGTATTTTCAAAAATATTTGAATTCCTGGGAAAAATTTTGTTATTTATGAAAATAATTCAATTATTGCGAAAAGTTTTATTAAAATGTTTAAAAAGAATTGAATTTTTGTGAAAAATTTTGTTATTTTTGAAAATAATTTAATTCTTCATAAGAATTTTATAAATATTGTTAATTTTTTCGTAATAATATAATGTATTATAAAAATTTATTTTAAATAATTGAATTCTTGTGGAAAACTTTTTTTGTGAAATAATTAAATTTTTCGTTTAATCAAATTAAAATAGTATTAAAAATAATTAAAATTCTTCGATGAGTTTTATTATTCATGAAAATAATTGAATTCTTGTTTAGAATTCCATCAAACATTTGTTTAAAAAATTGAATTTCCAAGAAAATTGTTATTATTAGTGAGAGTAATTGAATTATTGTGAAGAATTGTATAAAAATTTTGTTAAATAATTGATTCTTTCAAAATTGGTTTGAAAATGCTATATTTTAAATTAATTGAATTCCTGTGGAAATTTAATTATTTACGAAAATAATTCAATTTTAAATGAATTCTATCAATTCTTTTTTGAATAATTAAATAGTCTTTTACGAAATTTTTTTGAAAATACTCGATATTGAAAATAATTGAATTTGTAAAAAGCATATTATTAATTATGAAAATAATTGAATTCATGAGAACGATTTTATTACAATTTTTTTAAATAATTGAATTTCCAAGAAAAAATTTATCAGTTTTAAAAATAATTGAAATCCTACGATGAATTTTATTATTTATTAAAATAATTGAATAGTTGCATAAAGAATTTCATTAAAATTTTCAAAAATAATTGAATTCCTGAGAAGAATATTATTATTTATGTAAATAATTTAATTCTTGTATAGAATTTTTTTAAAATTTTTAAAAAGAATTGAATTCCTGTGAAAAATTTTGTTATTTTTAAAAATAATTGAATTCAAATTCAAATACAGAACATCGAGAACGCAAAGCATAATGGAGCTCTCACAGCTCTGCCTGCCTGCGCAGGCAGTAATTGGAGTAAGAGAGAAAATCAATTAGAGTGAAAGAGATAGTAAATTCAAATTTGTATGCTGCCTACTAGCTGTGAGAGCGCCTTAATGGGTTAGAAGAGGATAGAGATATATTTGTGTTCTTTTCTATCTCATGCGTTGGCTTTAAAGGCCTTTTTTGGCCTTTTTCCAATAGGATCCCAACATCATATATTTCGCAAACTCTACGTTGATTGCGATGGCAACGCATTCGTAACCCATACTTTTAGGTCGTATTGCAGAAAGACCTTAAGAGAGAAAATCAAAATAAATGAAATGTTGTTTGTTTGTCGCTCCTATCCATATGTCTTTCGATATAAAAATATTTTATTTTAGCAGAATTTGCCAGAAAGGTAATATTTAATAGTATATAATTTTTATAACTCTTATTGTTTAAATGAATGTAACGAATTATTTTTAATAAATTTTTGTTTCTTTCACAGTTTACTAATAAATAAGTACATTAATATGGCTTGTTGCATCCCAGGATGCAAAACATCCTATAGAGACCGGACTTCAGATAAACTAACATTATTCACTCCTTTTATCGTAAGTAGAATTATTTATATTTGTAAAATTTTCATATTATTATTTGACTGAGTTTAAAGTAAAAATGTTTTTTTTTGAATATTATAGGATGCACAAAGAGAAGAATGGGAGAAAATATTAAAAGAAAAAACAACCCTAACAAAATGGAAAAAAAATTACAGGCTTTGCGAGCTTCATTTTTCTGAAAACGTTATTGAAAGAGAGAGGAATGTTTTTAAAAAAAATGGAATTGTTTTGAAGGAAGTAAGAAAAAGACCAATTTTATCTAACAACGCAATACCTTCAATTTTTCCAGATATAACGATTCAAAAGAAACAAAAAGTTCATTTAGATTATTGTGTAAAAATATCGCACAGCGTATTCGAAGAAAGTATGAAAAATAGATTAATCGATAATGTACTTGTGGATAAAAGTAACAATCAATCATTGAATTATTTATATTCAAATGAAAATGAAATAATTTTAAAAACAGAATTAATTGATGACTCGGAAAACTGTACAATCGTCAAACATGAAATAATCTAATATTCTAATTTGTTTGAATAGGCTATTATGAAAATTTAACCATTTTCAAAAATTGATTTAATTTAATTTTATATTATATTTAATTTAATATAACATTTAATTTAATGATTAATTTAATTTAGTAAAATTTAATTTAATAAAATTTAAATATTTTATATATTATTCTCATCGAATGCAAAGTTTGGAAAAGATGTCATAACTTTCTCGATACAGGAAGGAATTCATTTTTTCTTTACTTAAAAATGTAATTATTAACATTCATAATACTTTTAATATAAATCATATTTTTATAATATAGATTAGAAACAGAAGGGTGCTCAAGTTTTGTTATTTACACAAAATTATACGCTTCTTCGTTTATGCCAAAGTTTATATAATAAGGAATAAAGAACTGAATATTAAAGAATAAAATTGTAAAATTAATTTTAGGATTATAGGCCAGTCCGGCCAGTCTGTAAAATCAAAAAGTAAAAGAAATTATAAGTTTCATCAGTTTCTGATGCAAAAAATAATAAAAATAATATTTTTTAATTAATTAACTAGTTAATTTATAATATTTATACAGCTTATTTTCTTAAATTAAACGCAATCTTGCAAACATTTGAAAAATTATTACCGCTCGTGCAGATCGATACTTTAACCTAAGGGTGCAGTCTTATGGTACGTAAACCCAGCAATGCTGAATGAACACGGATCCTCTTCCCGTAATCCGTATTCATTCTGCTTTGGCCCTAAAATACTTATGGGGAATCCACACGGCGCGCATGATTATCCCCTAGAGTTCAATGATTAAAAATAAAAATATTAAGTGACATTACTTTTCAAATAAAAGAATTTGTATTTGCAATATTTTTTAAATATTAGAATTTTTATTGAGCTAAAGATTCTTTGATTAAAAATTCTATTTCTAGTAAATTTTGTTAAAGAAAATTATTGTTTATCAGGAAATTTATTTAATAGAAAATTCATGTGTTGAATTTTTTATTTAACAGAATTTTCATACAGCACAATCCTTGCTCATTTCAATAAAAAATTATCGAATGTAATTTTTCTTTGATTGATTTTATTCATTAATAGAATTTGTCGTTTTAACAAATTTACAATTTACAGAACTGAAATTTGTATAAATTTTTATAAGACACAATTTATATTGAAAGAAAGTTTCGTTTATAAGATTATTATTTAATTTAAATAGAATTGTGAACGATTGTTTATTTATTAAGATTGTTACAGACATTATCTAAAATTATTAAAAGTTTTAATTGTCTAATATTTTATTTGATAAAATTTTTTTATAAAATATTCTTTATTTGTAATATATGTAATTTTTGCACGCCAAAATTTTTATGTTAAAAAAATTGCGTTTATCAAATTTTTATTTGATAAAAATTTTACTTATCAAAATTTATATTGAATCGATTTTTTATTTAATGGAATTTTTGTTTATGTAAATTTTCATATTACACAATTTACTTTATGTCAATAATTTGTTTTAATCGAAATGTACACGGAAAAAAAAAGTACGTGAAAGTTTCATTGACTTGGTCACCCCTGTCCGTCTTTCCCAGAAAGTAGTCAGCTTAGTGGTTTGCACTTTAATGTGCAAAAAAGTTCCTCGAGATGGCGCAGTACTCACTACTCGTCAGCAATATTCGTTACCTCATTCATTATTTTATTTGTTGTGTTGAAATCGGTTATAAATCTCAACTAAATTTTATAAAAAAATGTGAAAGTAAAAAAAGTATTAACATTAAAAACTATTTTAATGTTGTAAAAAGAGCATATTGTTTAAAAAGTGAAAATGTTTTTAATAAGTAGCCGGCAAAGCTTGCCTTAGTTTAAAAATTTTAAAAAAAGTTTAAAACTTTAAAATTTTTATTTAATATTATATTTTTTATTCATTGTATACGTTCATGTTTGTTTTTGTCTTGAGTAAAATTTCATCTCAAATAATAAATAAAAAAAATGGATTAAAGTTAACCCTCCGTCACACACCTAGGGAGGGATTCCCTCTACGGTTTCAGTATTTTTTAAATAACTTTTGTTTTCCTCATTGCAAAATAAAATCAGTTTCTATACCTTTCGACAATTTACTCCTCAACAGTCATTTTGCATGAGAGTTTCAAAAGCAGTCAATGAAATATTCTAGTACCTTGCTTGAGAATTTCATTGACTTTCAAAAAAATTGTAAAATAAAAAAAATAATTTCTACTTGTTCACACAGTTTTTCTGAAATTCACTCATTCATTCACATATATTGATAATTAATCACACAAACAAAGAACAATTATTGTATCACTTTTCGACGTTCGTCAACACTTATGAACTAACCTATAACACACACATATATTCGCGTATAACTTAAATATAAACACACACTTAACACTTAAAAGTACATATCGAATTGTTCTTATATACCACATGGTGAAATTTTTCACGACTTCTGAGACATGCTATTTCACTGAAAACTGATACTTACATAACATTCTGTTTTGTGAGAAACACAAAACAAAAAATATTTTTTTGAAAGTCAATTCTTGAAGACAAATATATATTAACACTATTTGTTCTTCATAAAATAATAGTATATTCACATCTGAAATTAACACAAACGGAAACAGACGATCAGCTGGCATTTACCTTGGGTAGAAACGCGCAACGCACACTGCGCATGCTCTACAGAATTTTCAAGCGCAGTCAACTAATCTTTCACGTACTTTATAAAACTGAACAAATGACTTTTCGTTAAAATTTAAAAAACACTGTTGCCCATACTAGTACTAGAATAACTCTAGGACTTTTCTATATTTTCTAATAAAAAGTATATAATACAGCCTTGTATTTTGTGTCCTATCCAAAAGTCAAGCACTTTCAAGGAAGGATTCACGTACTTTTTTTTTCCGTGTATATGTAAAAGAAATACCATTTTACGTGATGTCTATTTTATCAAATTTACATTATTTTGATGTAATTTCTATTTAATTTAATAAATATTTGAAAGAATATTTGTCTGTCACGATTCGCGTAAACTGTAATGTTTTTTCAATCAAATTCTCTTTTACATACTATTTTTTAAGTGACAGAACTTTTTTCAGCACATGGAAATTTTTCATATGAGTTTACCATCTATGTATTTTTTTAAATGTAAAAAACAACACTAGGGGGCTAAGAAGTTTAGCCAATCAAAATTCACAATTCCCCTTGCTTAACCAACCACGCCGCAGACTTAAAACATTTTTATAGAAGGCACACCACTTTTCATAAAGTTGTCCAAACCGGAAGGAAAGCATATATGTTATTGAGTGTATATAAATTAAGATAATTGTATATTTTAATACTACTAGCGCCTCAGACGGCCTTCGGCCGTCTTCGTTGCTTCTATTCCTTCTTCATTTTTGTTCAATTTTTAAAAGTTCTAATGTTCAGTTTTTTAATTTAATAATTTTTTATATAAAACCAGAGCCCTCGTCGACCGCTTGGCGGTCGACTTTGTTGCTGCTTTATTCTTAATTCTATTTTAATTTTTAATTAAATTCTATTTTATATTTTTAATTATTATATTTTTATTATTTGATATCCCTCTTTTTTTATTTATGATTTCATTTTATTTATAAATAAAATCATTTTATTTATAAATTTTTCTTGAGATAAACCAGACAAACCCAAGACAGCTCCATCTATTTTGTTTACATTTAGAGTTTGAGGTGCGCTTTCTATGTTCTTTTTTATTCTCTATGCTTATTTCTTGCTTCGATACTTTTCGAGTTCGACTTTTTTCAATTCGAGCTTTTTCTGCTTTGCATTTTTTTTTCTTAGAGAATATACGTACTATTAATTTTTATTTTAAAAGAATAGTTAAGTATTAGAATAAAAAAATTAGTTTCTTTTAGAGGACTTTAGGACTTATTCTTTTAGTCGTTTGAGGTTGAGTCCACAATAGGCACTTTTCTTAAAGCGATGCATACCATCTACATCGATTTCTACTATTGTTCGAACGGTTCGAACGGTTCGAACAATGGAAATCGATGTAGAGGGTATGCATCGCTTTAAGGTTGAGTCCACAATAGGCACTTTTCTTAAAGCGATGCATACCCTCTACATCGATTTCCATTGTTCGAACAATAGAAATCGATGTAGATGGTATGCATCGCTTTAAGAAAAGTGCCTATTGTGGACTCAACCTTAGTCTAATTAGCTTCGCGAACGAGACGGAGATAGAAAAGAAAACAAATATATGTATATCTGTCCTTTTCTAACTCATGCTTTGCGCTCGCGCATCAATCAAATAGACAGTTTATCTTTTTCTAACCCATACTTTATGTTCTTACTATAATTATTTTAGATGTTACAACTAGTTTGTAATCACGATTAAAAAAAACTATTCTAGTTTTATCTCTTTTTTTTTAAACATAAATTGTAAGTCACAATCGATTGTCATTAGTTTGATGAATCGATTTCTTGAAAATTCGACCTAATAATCGACTCTCCCATCCCAACCCTACTTAATGCATTTTAGGGGTGATAGGCAGTGAGAATATCACATTCTATGTTAATTTTTTTCTTGTGTTTTGTGCATTGGAATTGACTTAATATCGGTTTTAAAGTATCATAAAATTTATGGGAAATTCTAATTATCAGTGAAAATTTAGTATTTATGAAAGTTGGTGATTATTCTTCGACTGCTGTCAGTGGCAAATAGATTGTGTGTGTTCTAAATAGTGTACAACACTTTATATATGAACGAGTTCAACAAGATATACCCACCAAGGCTAGAACGGGAGCGACAACGAAAGTGACGTCACAAGTCCCCGAGAAACAAGACAGTCTGCATTCTTATGGTTTGACTGCATTTTGTCGTGAAACAAAAAAAAAGAGGAAAAAAAACACTTTTTTCATTCGAAAAACTTGTGTCGTTTTCTCATTTTTAAGGTTAAAAAAGAACTATTTTAATAAATATAATAATATTTAAAGTGTGACTTTAATCTATTGCTTTTCGTATAACATTTAAAGTACGGACAATAGAGTGGAAGATTCATTCCAATGACAATTAGTCGTCTGCATCCATGAATCAGCGTTCCTTCATCCACTGATTTCTTTTTAAAAAAGAGAAAGAAGAAAAAAAAGCAGGTTAATAACTCTTTCACTTCTTTAAATTTACACATCGCGAGTGTTTTAATTTTCAATGAGTTCAAAATATCAAAACCATCCTCGGAATGTTAAATTTCAAACAACAAAAAGTGTTTTTGTTTTTCGTTATTTATTTTCCCCGAGAGATAGTTTTCAATTTTTTTTCCTCTTAACCACAAGAGAAAGAGAGAGAATGGTTTAATTATAAAATGTGTTGTAAATATTATTGTGAATGAAAAGGAAATTTTAGAAAAAAAAATGGTGGGTGTCGTCTGCTTGTTTTGACTTGTTCATACACGAGATTTTCGAAAAATAAAATGACATTATTGTCATGTATATGTCAATAGTGTGTGAGTGTGTGTGCTCCTTGTTTCTTTGTTCCTAGAAAATTTCCTTTGTATTTTTCGCAAGTTTAAAATATAGACGTTTATATTTATTTTTTTTTTTACTTAAATTCTGACACATATAGATCTACTAAAATGAAAAATTCAGAACAAGATAAAAAAATGTTTCGCAAGACGATTTTTTGGTTATTAATCTAGAATCGTAATTGGGCGCATGATTTCACCCAAATTTTAATATTTATAATTGTTATATATCGAAACTTTAAACAATAATCTTTACTCGAAAGGTAGGTGTCTAATTTAATGTTAACATTATTACGATATTGAGAATAGATATTTATTGTAATTTTTTTCTAATTGAATTTTACTCTTATAGACTTTCTAAGTATTATAAATATAAATTACAATTAATTTCACACTATGATAAAAAATATGAACTAAATTTTTTTAAGTATAATAATTATTTTTTATAATTCCTATGGAATCTAATTATAAATGAACATAGTTTTTAACTTGTGAAATGGAAAGTAATATAATTGTTAAAAATATAATATTTATTTCTTACAATTTTTATGAAATCTAAATATTATTTGAAATAATTAATGTTTTCAGGCTTCGCATTCATCTACTAAAACCATTATTTACTTACTACTTTTTTTACGTTATGCTACTATTTGGATATTTATTCAGATTTCCGCCACAAAAAGCTACTATTTCTGTTCTTTTGAGAATTTACTTTAAATTTGCTAAGACTAGAAATCAAAAAACTATTCTCAAAAATTATAATCAAATTCTTCAAAACGATTCAATTATTTTAAAAAAATATTCGAAATTCAATTATTTTTAATGTCTGGTATTTTCACAAAATTTTGCAAAAGAATTCAATTATTCGAAAAAAATTGATAGAATTTATCCAAAATTCAATTATTTTTATAAATAATAAAATTTCCACAGGAATTCAATTAATTTAGAATAGCATTTTCAAAAAAATTTCGAAGAAATCAATTATTTAACAAAATTTTTATACAATTCTTCGCAATAATTCAATTACTTTCCCTAATAATAACATTTTTCGTGGAAATTCAATTTTTGTTAAAATTCTTAGCAAGAATTCAATTATTATTTCATAAATAATAAAACTCATCGAAGAATTTCAATTATTTCTAATATTATTTTAAATTAATTAAACGAAAAATTCAATTATTCTCATGCGGCTTCAATTTTGAAAATACAATTTTACAGGAATTGCTTAAAAATGTAATTATTCTTAAATATATATAATTTCAATTCCTCGAAAAAATCAATTATTTTCAATTCCATTATTTTTTAAAATTTTAATAAATTTTTTTCTAAGAATTCAACTATGTCGATAAATATGAAAATTACTCCCAAAAATTCAATTATTTTGAGTCATTTTAATGAAATTCTCTATGATCCACAAGTTTTGAACGTTCAAATGAACGAAACACTTTTTATTAGAAATGTTTTTATAATTTATTGTTTGCAATAAAAATTAAAAACTTAAATTTCACACTTAGAAACTTAATAATTCATTTATTTTATATCGACAAAAAATTATTGTAATAAATATTTAAATTAAAGAAGAAAATAAATAAATAAATAAATTATTTTCATAAATAAAATTATTCATTACAAAAATTTAATTATTTTTAAAAGTAATAAATTTCTTTTTGGAAATTCCATTCTTTTTAAACATTTTAATACAATTTTTTTGCAATAATTCAATTATATTCAAAAAGAATAAAATAGTTTTTAGGAATTCAATTATTTTCAAAAAAATTATAATAAAATTCTTTGCAACTATTCAATTCTTTTCATAAATAATAAAATTCATCACATGATTTCAATTATTTTTAATACAATTTTACAGGAATTGATTAAAAAATGTAATTATTCTTAAAAATTTAATTTCAATTCATCAATGAAATCGATTATTTAAAAATATGTTTTTTTAAATCTTTGGAAGAATTCAATTATTTACAAAAATATTAGAATTTTTCACAGGAATTCAATTATTATTTTCGAATATTTTAATAAAATTGATCGAAAGAAATCAATTATTTTAAATACAATTTTAATTAAATTTTTTTGAAATAATTAAATTATTCTTTTAGATTTTAATAAAATTCTTCCCAAGAATTCAATTATTTATATGAATAATTCTTCAAAAGAATTCAATTATTAAAGATAAATAACAAAATTATTCCCGAAAATTCAATTATTTTTAGGCATTTTAATAAAATTCTTTGCAAACTTTAATTATTTTCATAAATAACAATATTCATCACAAGAATTCAATTATTTTTGAAAAGTAATAAATTTCTTCTTGGAAATTCAATTATTTAAAAAAATTTTAATAAAATTGTTCGCTTTGAATTCAATTATTTTCATAAACAATAAAATGCTTATTTGAAATTCAATTGTTTAAAAAAAAAATAAATAAAATGATACACAGACATTCAATTATTCTTAAAAATTTTAATAGAAATCTTTGAAAAATTTAATTATTTAAAATAATTTTTCGCAATTCAATGATTTTCAATATCTACTATTTTCATAAAATTTCTAAACAGAATTCAATTATTTAATAAAAATTTTGTAAAATTCTTCGTAAGAATTCAATTCTTTTCACGAATAAAAAAAATTTCTCAGAAATTTAATTATTTAAATTAGAATTTGCATAAAATTAGTCGAAATAAATCAATTATTTAAAAAAGTTTATAAAATTCTTCGCAAGAAATAAATTATTTTGATAAATATTTAAATTCTTTGATGAATAATAAAATTCGTTGCAGGAATTAAGTTTATTAGCAGGATAAGAAAGAAGTCAATATTTTTTATGAAAACTAGGAAAATGTCAAAAACGTAAAATATAGATTGGGATTTTTGTCAGTTTTGTGAAGTGTCTAAAAGGAGTTTTTTTGGTTGTCAAATTCAATTTTTCATTAGCTACTTTTTTTTACTAATTTTCTCAGTTTGAAACCTACTTTTTTAAAATTATTTATTGAGTGCGAAGTCTGCTGTTTTACATATTTTTAAAATAACGGAAATTTAAATCCTCGAATTATTATCTTACATAATTTTAATTTTTAATGAAAGTTTTATTTCTTATTATTTGTTTTGCATAGAATTATTACTTAATATAATGTTTATTTTTTAAACTTTTAATATGGTTTAATTTTTGTCACCGAATACGTGATTCATAGAATATTCCACGGATTAATAAAAATCTATTGTTAATTCGTAAAATATTCTGCGAATTAGATATTCGGTGGCATAAAAATTAAGATATATGAAAAGTTTATAAAATAAACATTATATTAAATAATTATTCTGTGCAATAAAAATTATAAGAAATAAAACTTTGATTAATTTCAACTTATGTAAAATAATAGCTCGAGAATTTTAAATTTTGGTTATTTAAAAAATATGTAAAACAGTAACTATTTCAAATAATAATTAGATTTCATAAAAATTATGAGAAATAAATATATTTTATTTTTAACAATCATATTACTTCCAATTTCTCAAGTTAAAAATTATGCTAATTTATAAATTAGAGTCCATGCAAATTTTAAAAATTAATTGTTCTATATAATATAAGTTATATTACACACAATTTCATAGTGTGAAATTTATTGTAATTTATATTTATAATACTTAGAAAATCTATAAAAATAAAATTCAATTAGAAAAAAATTATAATAAATTTCTATTCTCAACACCTACCACTCGAGTAAACAATGATTATAAAGTTTAAAATTCCGTTAAATAACAAAAAGTATTAATTGGTTTCTTCGTGAAATTTTTACTCAAATTTTTTTTTTATTAAAACAATTTTTTTCGACTTCTATATGAAAAATAAGTAAATACCTGTTTTTTTTATTTTTTTATTTGATCAAAATTACGGAAGTTATCATTTTTTTAAATTTAACGTTCAAGATCAAAGGGAAAAAGAGAAAAAAATAATTTGAATTTTTTATTAATATTTCAATGTTTTCGGACAAATTTTGTCAAAAGTAAGCGGTATTATTTTAAAAATATAAAATTTGTTATCATTATCATTAACAAAACATTTTATAGGTTAAAAATAAACGTGACTGAACAAAAGCGTGAAAATTAAATTTCCGTTCGATTGGTAAATGGAATTTGAGTTCTTCAACGATTTAAAAAATTCCCACTTCTTCCACTTTTCTTCCAGATATTGCAACAAAATACCATTTTTATAGTATAAACTATAAAATAAAACTTATTTTGATTTTTATAGTCTAGAAAATAACTATAGAAAAATCTTTCAAAAATTATTTTTTAATCTTTTTAATTAAATTTTCGAAATATCCAATTAAAATTTTAAAAATATTTTGAATAATTGGAATTTTGTAAAATTTAATTGAAAATAATTGATTTTTTAAAAATATTTTATTACAATTTTTGGAAATAAACTTTTGGAGAATTTTAATTACAAAATCTGAAAATAAATGAATTTTCAAAAGTTTCAATGTAAACTCTTCAAGTGTAAATTTGAAAATGAAAATTAATGAAAATTAGCTTCTAAACATTATAATTAAAATATTTTTGAAAAAAGTAATTCTTAGAATTTTTTCATTCTAATTTTTTAAAATTCAATTATTTTCAATTACATATTTCCAAAAATTCAAATACTTAGAAAAATAATAAATTGTATTTGAATTTTTAATATAATTTAAAAAAAAAATTTAAGCTCAAATATCAACAAAATAATTATTTTCAAGCTTTATTAAATAGATCTACATGGGGAAATTTCAAAAAAATTAATATAAAAATAAAAGTTACTACTTGATGGAGAATGAGCTTTATTCATAAGTAGTAATTTTACCCTTAAAAGACAATTTGAACTCTTTCACATTTTTTATTTGAATTTTCTTCTGTGTTTATAGAAGGAGGCCAAGAGCTATTGTAATAACGAGAAAGAAATCTATTGGAAAGAATAATGGATTCCGAAGAAGAAACGTACGATGTAGATTCGGGTAACGAATCCAGTGGCGATGATAATATGGAATTTGCAATGGAAATTGAAGCCGCAAGTCCTAGAGAACGAGCTAGTGACGTCGACGATTATCCTTTTGAAGTTTTATCAACAGAAGAAATTGTTCAACATATGGTTGATTCTATAAAAGATGTAAACACAGTTGTCGAGGTAAACTTTCCTCTTTCATTCATTCTTTCTTTTGGAATGCTTGTTAAGAAAAAAAGAACGTTTAAAAAAATGAAAGTTCATAAATAAACTATCTTTGCAATAAAGACATTTTTAGAGTGCCTGCTAATCGGGAAAACCGGGAAATAGCCGGGAATTTAATTTGACTGGTAAAAACCGAGAATAAGGCAGGAATTTTATGCCAAACCGGGAATTTTTTCACCAAATTAAAAAAAATTTTATTATTTTAATTAAATTTGTTACAAAATTTCATTAAAAACTTTTTAACAAATCGAATTTTCAAAGTATTTTAATTTAATAATTGATAGTATTATTGATATTATTGAATCTTATAAAGAGTCACATTCTAATGTATTAATGTTTATTAGTGCGAAGATTAATAAATAAAATTTTTATTATTTAATTTTAAAAAATATACACTGAGAAAAAAGAGGGCGCGTTGCAGCAATTCTGTTGTTTCAAGATAATTGAATTTTTATAAACCAATAATTGAAAATTTTTGAAATAATTGAAATTTCTTTACATTCTATTAAAAATAATTAAATTCTTTTAAAGAATTTTATTTAAATTTTTCGAAAATAATCAAGGGAAGTTAGTCACTGAGCAGGATGGCCGCTGGACCGGGAAAACCGGGAAATGACAGTGAATTTTGATCTTGACCGGGATTTTGGAAATTTTTTTTTAAAAACACACATTATTTTGTGAGAAAAAATAAAAATATTTATTTTAGGACTTATTATTTATATTTCATTAAAAAAGATTGAATAATCTTCTATAAAATCTATTTATTTTGTCAGGGAATTTTATGAAAAGTACTATAAAAATATTCAATTTCTAGAATTTATAAGAAAATCATAAATTTTGTTGTCCAACGTAACAGACTTAGAAAAAGAAAATATTAAATATTTCATTTAAAATTCTTTCTATTTCTAACAATAATTAAACAAAATATAATTTTAATTAAATTTGTCAAAAAAATTTTAAAGACAAAATTTGACATCCTATAAAATAGTGAAAAATAAATCAATTTAAAGATTTTTTTTGCAATAATATTATAACAAAACAAATTTGAATTATTGAAAATTTGAACTAATTAGAACAAAAGTGATACGAAATTTATAAAAAATAATTTTTAAATAATAAATAAAGTTAATAAAAATAAATAAAATTTCTTTTCTTAGAAAATAAAATTTTAAAAAACCGTATTTTGCATTAATATCAATTAGTTTTTTTTGCAATTATTGATAAGCAAATTTTTCTATATTTTAGAATGTTAAATTAATATTATTATAGATTGAATTTTAAAAAGTTTTAAATTTAAGTTTTAGAAAAGTTGAATTTTAAAAAATTTTAATTAAAAATTCTCAATAAGTTAGTTTTTTGAAATATTTTTATTCACATTTTTTCAAATTAGTTATGTTTTTAAATATGTAATATTTAATTGAAAAAATTTCAAATTATTCAAAATTACATGAAATTGTCTTGTAAACAAGTGGATTTTAGAAATATTTTAGTTAAAATTTCTATTAAAATAATTGAATTGAAATTTTGAAAATAATTTTTAATAAGTTACAGTAGCAATTCTTCAAAATTATTCAAATTTAAAGGATTTGAAATTTGATTACCTATATAGAAAAATAATGGATAATAATTAAATATTTGTTTCAAAAAATCTATTTAAGTTCAAAATTATTTTTAGTATTAAGATATTTAAAAAAATGTATTATAAACATATTTTGGAGTTTCAATTATTTTTAGAGTAAACTAAAATATTTTTAGGGTTTGGGAAAAAGTCAAAATTTTGTCTAAAAATCAGAAAATTCTTTCAATCTTTCATGGAGTAATTTATTTTTAGAGTTATTTTTTATGACCGGGAAATGACCGTGAATTTTTTTTATGAAAAAAGTGGCCACCCTGCTTAGTCACCGTAATTATAATTTTATTTTTAAAAATATCTTTGCAATATATTCAATGCTTTTCATAAATAGTAAAACTCATTGCAGAATTTCAATTATTTTTAATACAACTTTAATCAAATTCCTCGAAAAATATAATTATTCTTAAAATTTTTATTAAAATTTGTCAAAAGAATTCAATTATTTCTAGAAACTGTAAAAAAAATTCTTCTCAAGAATTCAATTATTTCCATAAATAGCAAAATCCTTGAGATTAACTAAGTTCTTTTGAATATTATATTTAAAAAAAATTCATCACAAGAATTCAATTATTTTTATAAATTTTCATAAAATTCTAAAAAAAATAGTTCAATTGTTTTCAAAAGTAATAAAATTCTTCGCAGAAATTCAATTATGTTTAAGAGTTTTTTAAAATCCTTCTCAAAATTTCAATTATCTTTATGAATAATTCAATTGTTTCTCACAATTCAATTATTTGCAAAAATTTTAATCAAATTCTACCCAAACATTTCATTGTTTTCATAAATAATAACATTCTTTGAAAGAATTCAATTACTTTTATAAATAATAAAATTCTTTGCAGAAATTCAATTAGTATAATTACATTTTAATAAAATTGAATTTATCAAATTTTCAATTATAATTATAAACAGACAAGATTATTTTAAAAAATTGAAAAAATTCTTTGTTTAATTCAATTATTTTCAAAATTTTTAATTAAAATTATCAAAAAAAAATATTATTTTCAAAAAATTTAAAGAAACTCGCCAAATGAATTTAATTATTCATAAAAACGATAAAAACTAATTAAAATTTTTTCAAAGTTATGGGCAAAAAACGGTTGTTTCTGATTTTCAAAATGCAAAAAAAAAATATTTAATCTTTCTTAATGTGGCTCAAAGTTCTCTCATTTTATACCCACACGTGGACCTAAAATTAAAAGAAAAATGCATCCCTAAAATATGAAAATGTAATGTTTACACACACATACGGAATGTAATTTTTTAAAAATGTGATTTTTGAATTCCTGAGCTCAAAAAACATAAAAATATGTTAAAAAACTTGAAAAATCTATTAAAATTTGTCAAAAATTACCCTAAAATAAAACGATCGTATTTATGTTTAAGGAAACACACCACCTTTATTTTGACCTCTTTAAAATTAAATCGTTAAATATTTTTTCTAATATTAGATAATATTTTTTCTTGCATCTCTTTTAACCTAAAAACACATAATTTGGTGAAAAATATTTCATTTTAATTTTTAAAGAGGTTAGAATTTTTTTTCGTTTCTCCTATTACATATTATTGCAAATCCATGAAGATGTTTAAAATTGTAAAATATCATGGAAAAAAATTGGCGATAAGAAATATTAAAAACTGTAAGAGAAGATCGATTTTTAATATTTAAATCTTTAAATTTTGCCAAAATTTCGAAAACACTGAACCTTTAATTTTTTAGAGTTCCGTACTCGGTAGGAAAAAATTTTATGCGCTGATTCTAAAAAAACAGTTAAAATTGATGTTTACCTCATTTTCATGGTAAAGACCATAAAAATCATGGCTTTTTGCATTTATTTCGGTAAATATAAAATAGACCAAAAAAAGCTTCAGATTATGAATTTTATGGTTCTTACCATGAAAATGTGCTAAACGTCAAATTTATTAATGTTTTTTGGAATTAGCGCATCAAATTACGTAAGTATACATAGTTTGGAAAAAAATTAAAGGGTTCAGGACTTTTGAAATTTCGGCTAAATTTAAACATTTGAATATTAAAAATCGATCTTTTGTTACAGTATTTAATATTTTTCAACAGTAATTTTTTTCTATGTATATTTTACAATATTTTGAACAATTCGTATGGATTTGCAATAAAAGAAAAAAAAATTCTAACAACTTCAAAAATTAAAATGAAATATTTTTGACCATCTTTTTTTAAGGTTAAAGACATTTTTTCATGTTTTTTCGAATTTGAATTTGTTTTAATTATTAGCATTAAAAAAAATGACCATGAAAGCTATTTTTCTATTCAAAATATAGATGTAGTAAAAAAGAAAATAATGTGACGTTAATTATTTTCAGATACCGGCGACTACAACGCGAATTTTACTTAATCATTTCAAATGGGATAAAGAAAAGTTAATGGAACGTTTTTACGACGGCGATCAAGAGAAATTATTTGCAGAAGCCAGAGTTATTAATCCTTTCAGACAAGGTCCTGTAATTAATCGGAATAGAGCTTCCCAAAGTTCATTGGTAAGTGTATTCTAGGGAAAACTTTTAAAAATAAACCAAATGTTTTAATTGGACATTTTTTTGAAATTATCTCCTTCTTTATAGATCAGACGCACATCAACGAATGGAACGGAAGAATGTGCAATTTGTTTTATATCTTTACCAGTGCCTGTAAGTTTTAATTCATATTCGATTATTATAATTACTTTTCTGCAAAGAATGTTGAAATCCAAACTGAAAATTGATTTCAGATGATGACTGGACTGGAGTGTGGGCATCGTTTTTGCACTGGATGTTGGGGCGAATATTTAACGACAAAAATAATGGAGGAAGGCGTGGGTCAAACAATTGCTTGCGCAGCGCACGCTTGTGACATTTTAGTTGACGACGCAAGTGTAATGCGACTCGTTAAAGATTCCAAAGTCAAACTGAAATATCAACATCTCATAACAAATAGTTTCGTTGAAGTGAGTAATATAGTTACAGGCTTCGCACTCATCTACGAAAATCTGCTATTTACTAATTTTTTTACATTATGATTCTATTTGGGTACTTTTTTAGATTTCAGACACTAAAAGCTACTATTTCTGTTTTTTTTGAGAATTTACTTTAAATTCGCCAGGACTAGAAATCAAAAAACTATTTTTGAAAATTATAATCAAATTCTTTAAAACGATTCAATTATTTTCAAAAAATATTCGAAATTCTATTTTTAATATCTAGTATTTTCATCAAATTTCGCAAAAGAATTCAATTTAAAAAAAATTGATAAAATTCATCCAAGATTCAATTATTTTCATAAATAATAAAATTTCCACAGGAATTCAATTAATTTAAAATATCATTTTCAAAAAAATTTCTAAAAAATCAATTAACAAAATTTTTATACAATTCTTCACAATAATTCAATTACTTTCACTAATAATAACATTTTTCGTGGAAATTCAATTTTTTAAAAAAATTTTTGATAAAATACTAAGCAAGAATTCAATTATTTTCATAAATAATAAAACTCATCGAAGAATTTCAATTATTTTTAATACTATTTTAAATTAATTAATCAAAAAATTCAATTATTTAAAATAAAATTTTCATAATATTTATTAAATTCTTAAAATATCGACTGTTTATAGACAAAATGGAATAACTCGAGTAAATATGAATCGATTTTGCACAATTTTTTTTTGTCTGATAAAGAATGATAAACAAAAGAATTCTGTTAAGTTTATTCATTATTTTTGATAATTTTATAGAATTTAAGCAAAAAAAAAACTGAAAAAATAGCGACTTTTTGACATACATGTCGTTTTTATTTTAAAATGTATGAATTTAAAAAAAAATTGAAAAAGAAAAGAAAAGTTTACCCAGTAAAATTTATAACTAAAGTTTTAAAATTAATTGATTTTATTAACAATACTAATTACATTTCCAAATTGAATCAATGTTTCACGTTACATATATTTTGTATAAAAATTTTGTAACAAATATGAAATTTAATTTTATGATTAACATAAGAAAAAACTGAAATCTAATATTATTCGCCTTAATAAAAAATTTTTGTTTAAGGCAATTTTAAAATCTTCGGAAATGTAATTAGTAATATTAATAAAATCAATCAATTTAAAAACTTAAGTTATAAATTTTACTTGGTAAACTTTTACTTCACTAATTGTTTGGACAATTACAAAAACTGTTACTTGGCGGAATCTATTGCATCAAAGTTGTTTTTGTTGGGATTCAATTATTTTCAAAAATAACAAAAGTTTTCACAGAAATTCAATTCTTTTTTAAACATTTTAATAAAATTTTTCGCAATAATTCAATTATTTTCATAAATAATAAAATTCTTCTCAGGAATTCCATTATTTTTGAAAATTTTAATAAAATTCATTGCAACTATACAATTATTTTCATAAATAATGAAATTCTTCGCTGGATTTCAATTCTTTTTAATATAATTTTACAGGAATTGATCGAGAAATGTAATTATTCTTAAAAATTTAATTTCAATTCCTCGAAAAAATCAATTATTTAAAAAAAATGTTTTTTCAAATTCTTTGGAGAAATACAATTATTTACAAAAATATTAGAATTTTTCACAGGAATTCAATTATTATTTCCAAATATTTTAATAAAATTGTTCGGAAAACATCGAATATTTTAAATACAATTTTAATTTTTATTTGAAATAATTCAATTCTTCTTTTAGATTTAAATAAAATTCTTCCTAAGAATTCAACTATTTATATAAATTCATCGAAAGAATTCAATTATGTCAATAAAAAACAAAATTAATCCCGAAAGTTCAATTATTTTGAGGCATTTCAATAAAATTCTTTACAAAATTCAATTATTTTCATAAAAAACAATTTACAATAATCATCACAAGAATTCAATTTTTTTTTAAAGTAATAAATGTTTTCTTGGAAATTCAATTATTTTTAAAAATTGTAATAAAATCGTTCACAAGAGTTCAATTATTTTCATAAATAATAAAATACTGTTTAGGAAGTCAATTATTTTCAAAAAAATTTTAATAGAATTCTTTGTAAAATTTAAGTACTTTTAAAGACTTTTCGCAATTGAATGAATTTCAATATTTACTATTTTCATATAATTTTCAAACAGAATTCAATTATTTAAAAAAAAATTTCGTAAGAATTCAATTATTTTTATGGATAATAAAAATTTTTCAGGAATTTAGTTAATTTAGAATAGCATTTTCAAAAAAATTTCGAAAAAATCAATTATTTTACAAAATTTTCAAACAATTCTTCACAATAATTTAATTACTTTCACTAATAATAACATTTTTCAAGGAAATTCAATTTTTTAATTAAATTTTTGATAAAATTCTAAGCAGAGAATTCAATTATTTTCATAAATAATAAAACTCATCGAAGAATCTCAATTATTTTTAATACTATTTTAAATTAATTAATCGAAAAATTCAATTATTGGCACGAATAAAGTTTTCCACAAGAATTCAATTATTTAAAATAAAATTTTCATATTTATTTTATTTCGAGAAAAAAATAACAAATTTTTAACAAATTTTTAAAATAACAAATTTTTTCACAGTAATTTAATTCTTTTTAAACATTTTAATAAAAATTTTAGTAATAGTTCAATTATTTTAATAAATAATGAAATTTTTCCCAGGAATTCAATTATTTAGAAAAGTGTTTAATAAAATTCTAAGCAAGAATTGAATTATTTCGATAAACAACCGCAAAATTATTCCCGAAAATTCAATTATTTTGAGGCATTTCAATTAAATTCTTTACAAAAATAAATTATTTTCATAAATAACAATATTCATCAGAAGAATTCAATTATTTTTAAAAGTAATAAATTTTCGCTTGTAAATTCAATTATTTTAAATAATTCTAATAAAATCGTTCGCAAGAATTCAATTATATTCATAAAATAATAAAATCCTTTTTAGGAATTCAATATTATTTTCAAAAAAAATTTAATAAAATGCTACAGACATTCAATTATTCTCAAAAATTTTTATAGAATTTTTTGTAAAATTTATTTATTTTTAAATACTTTTCACAATTCAATGATTTTCAATTTCTACTGTTTTCATAAAATTTCCAAACAGTAGGGGAGAGGCCCCTAAGGTGGTCACCCATCTTTTGAGCGACTGTAGATATCAAATGAAATTATATATAAAGGTCAATAATACGGCGTTTGAAACTTTATCTTATTACCTAACTTCCTATCATAAAGTTTTTTTCATTTCATTAATAAAAAAAAGTTATGGCACTTTTTAAAAAAAGTTGAAAATTCGACTTTTAAAAAAGTGGCCCCAAGATGGTCACCATACAAAAATTCACTAAAAAAGTTTTTAAAAAATGTAAAAAACGTATTATTAAGTTGTTTATTTAATATGAATTGTTTTTCAGGATCACAGAAACATATTACATATTTTTTTTGCACTTTGTCCTTTCGTCAAAAATGATACTTTTTGTGTATGTATTAGACAGGTAAAATTTTGAAAATAATTCTATTTCATTATTATTCAACATAAAACTTAAAAATTGATAAAATTCACATTCACAGTGATAAATGTTGATAAATATGGCGTATAAACACATTTTCATAAAAAATCAAAAGCGACCACCTTGGGGCCAAAAAAGTGTCCACCTTAGGGCCAAGACACAATTTTTTAAACGTTAATGAAAAAAATTTTTAAAGCACATTATTAATTATATTCATTTGGAATATTATTGTACGATATATAAAGATAATTATAACGATTTTTACTAATTTAAAATGGTTAATTTCGAAAGAGGCTCATACGACTATTTACCTCAAAACTTTACTAAAATCTTTGTCTTCTCAAACAATAACAATAACAAAAAAAAATGGAAGATACAAACTAATATACAAAAATTTTCTTAGGGTGACCACCTTAGGGCCCTGACCACCTTGGGGCCCTCTCCCCTATTCAATTATTTAAGAATTTTTTTGTAAAAATATTCGTAAGAATTCAATTCTTTTTGTGAATAATAAAAATTTCTTAGGAATTCAATTATTTAAATTAGAATTTGCATAAAGTTAATCGAAAGAAATGAATTATTTAAAAATTTTTTAAAAATTCTTCGCAAGAATGAAATTATTTTTATAAATATTGAAATTCTTTCAGGAATAATGTAATTCGTTGCAGGAATTCAATTTATTATCAGGATAAGAGAGAAGTAAATATTTTTGATGAAAATTAGGAAAAAGTCAGGAATATAAAATATTAGATTGGGATTTTTGTCAGTTTTGTCAAGTGGCAAAACGAGTTTTTTTGGTCATCAAGTTTAATTTTTAGATAGCTACTTTTTACTACTTTTTTAGTTTGAAAGCTACCTTTTGCTACTTTTTTTTTATTTATCGAGTACGAAGTCTGATAGTATCAAGAAAAAAATTTGCGCTAATGCAACTATTATTCTTATTGTTCAAATCCTGATGAATTGTTTCTTCTTCTTCTTTCAGTGTAACAGGCTTTTGAGGTGGTGTCCATCGCCAGATTGCAATAATGCGATAAAAGTTCAATACGTTGAATCGCGACCCGTTACTTGCAAGTGTGCTCACACTTTTTGTTTTCTCTGCGGAGAAAATTGGCACGACCCTGTTAAGTGTCATTTATTACGAAAGTGGATTAAAAAATGCGACGACGACTCGGAGACTTCAAATTGGATTGCGGCAAATACAAAGGAATGTCCAAGATGCAACGTTACAATTGAAAAGGACGGCGGTTGTAATCATATGATTTGTAAAAATCAAAATTGCAAGACGGAATTTTGTTGGGTGTGCTTGGGACCCTGGGATCCTCACGGCTCAAGTTGGTACAGTTGCAATCGCTATGATGAAGATGACGCCAAAACTGCTAGAGACGCTCAGGAAAAATCTCGAGCTGCCCTTCAACGTTATCTATTTTACTGTAATCGTTACATGAATCACATGCAATCACTCAAGTTTGAGCATAAACTCTATGCCAGCGTTAAGGAGAAAATGGAGGAAATGCAGCAACACAACATGTCATGGATCGAGGTAAGTTTAATGGATTATATTTATTTTTGTTTAACAAATTCCCTGGAAATGTCGGGGAATTTTAAAAGAGTCTCGTTTACAATTTTCATAAATAGCTCAACTTCAAAATTTTCTAATTTGAAATTTTAGAAAATTCCAATCTTGAATGAATTAATTAAATAATACAAATTTCGCAGGAATTCTATTATTTACAAATTTTCGACAAATTTCTTCGCATTTCAATTATTTTCATGAAGAATAACATTTTTTACCAGGAATCCAATTATTTTCATAAATAATAAAATTCTATATAGGTTTTCAATTATTTTCATATCATAAGTAATAAAATTCATCGCAGAATTTCTATTATTTTGAATACAATTTTAATATGGAATATACGAAAAATGTTTATGAAAAATTCTTAAAAATTTTATTAAAATTCATCAAAGAAATTCAATTATTTTAAAAAGCCTTCCTTTAATTTATTTATTAGAATTTAAGTATTATTGTCAATACATTTTTAATTAAATTTCTTAAAAGAATTAAATTATTTTCATAAATTTTAATAACAATTCATTTTAATTGAAAATTAAGGGGAGACCCCACCTTAATTTTGACCCCTTTAAAATAAAATTATTAAAGGAGGTAATATTTTTTTTCCTGCATCATTTTTAACCTGAAAACATATAAGATGGTCAAAAATATTTAATTTTAATTTTTGAAGAGGTTAGAATTCTTTTCTTTTGACCTATTGCATATTATTGCAAATCCATGCGAGAAGTTGTTAAGAATGGTAAAATATGCATGGAAAAAAATTTCCGTTTAAAAATATTAAAAACTGTAAGAGAAGATCAATTTTTAATATTCAAATCTTTAAATTTTGCCGAAATTTCGAAAGCCTTAAATCTTTAATTTTTTTTCAAATTGTGTATATTTACGTAATTTGATGCTATTATTCAAAAAATATTGTTAAAATTGACATTTAGCTCATTTTCGTGGTAAATTCCATAAAAATCATAGTCCGAAGCTTTTATGGTATACTTTATATATACCGAAATAAATCAAAAAAACCATGATTATTATAGTTTTTACCATGAAAATGAGGTAATCGTCAATTTTAACTATGTTTTTTCGACTCAGAGCATCAAATTGGAAAAAAATAAAGTTTCAGGACTTCAGAAATTTTGGCACAATTTAAAGATTTGAATATTAAAAATCGATCTTCTCTTACAGTTTTTAATATTTTTTAACGAAAACTTTTTTCCATGCATATTTTACCATTCTAAACAACTTCTCGCTTGGATTTGCAATAATGTGCAATAGGTCAAAAGAAAAAAATTCTAACCTCTTCAAAAATTAAAATTAAATATTTTTGACCATTTCATATGTTTTCAGGTTAAAAATGATGCAAGAAAAAAAATATTACCTCGTTTAATAATTTTATTTTAAAGGGGTCAAAATTAAGGTGGGGTCTACCCTTAATTTAATTAAATTTAATTTAATTAAAAATTAAATTAAAAAAATAATAAAAAAATAAAAAATAATAAATAATTAAATTAAATTAAATTAAATTAAATTAAATTAAATTTTTTTTTATTTTTTTTAATGAAATTTTTTTAACAATTCATTTTTTACAAAATAATTTTAATAAATTTCTTTGTAGAAATTTAATTAATTTCAATAATTTATCAAAATTCAATTATTTTTAATATCTATTATTTCAATAAAATTTCATAAAATAATTCAAATATTTTAAAAAGAAATATATTATTAAAATTCGTTTCAAGAATTCAATTATTTTCAAAAGTAATACAATTTTTCTCAGAAATTCAATTATAGTCAAAAGTTTACAAAAATTCTCCTAAAAATTTCAATTATTTCATAAATAATAAAATTCTCCTTCAAAGTTCAATTATTTCCAAAAATTCTTTGCGAAATTTCAATTACTTTCAAATATTTTTCTCAATTCAATCAAATTTTTTAGAGATTCAATTATGTTAATAAAATTTTAATCTAATTTCTGGAAAAATGATATTATTCAAATTTGGAGAGAAAGTATTATAGCGTGAATTTTTAGAGATAATTGAATTTTGAAATGGTTTCAATCTTTGAAAGTTTGAATTTTTCATACTTTTAACTGAAAATTGTATAGATTTAATTTTTTTAAAAAAGTTGAATGAAACTTTTTTGAAATTATTTGAAGTTTTTATTTTCTAATATATATTTAATTGAAAAATTTCCGAATAATCGATTAAATTTTGTAAAATTGAATTGTAAAGAAAAGAATTTGAAAATTCTCAAAGAAATTTTTCAAAAATTATAAAAAATAATTAATTTAAACACCCGAAGAATTTTAGTTAAAAATTTTAGAAAATAATTGAATTGAAATTAAAATAATTTTTATGAAGTTACAATAACAAGATTCTTATAATAAAAAATAATGATTTTATCAGTCTTCTTGTTTTATAATAATTTTTTAAAAATTGTTTAATTTTCAAAAAGTTTGAATTTGAAATTTTTGAAAATCTTAAATCTTATGAAAAAAAAATAATGATTAAATATTTATTTAAAAAAGAAGTAATAGAACATTTTTCTGAGTAATAATTTTTAAACTGAATGAGAATATTCTTTAAGTCAAGGAGAAGTAAGAATTTTGTCTGGAATTCAAGGGAAAGTCAGGGAAAGACAAAATAAATTTTTGTTGTCAACAAATGTAGTTTTAAAAACCTGGAAAAGTCAGGGAATTTGAAATGAGCAAAAGCGTGGCAACCCTGATTTTCACGTAATCAAATTTTTGTTTTAAAAAATAGCACATTAAAATAATTATTTAAAGATTTTTAAAGATCGTTTGCAATGAAGAATTAATTTTTTTAAATAATAAACTTGAAAATATTTTAATTAAAAAGTCAGGTCTCGGATATTATGACTTTTTCGACTTTTTCTTTCAAATATTGCAATAAAATACCACATTTTTATTATAAAATGAAACTTATTTCAATTTTTATAATGTAAAAAATAACTAAGAATTAATTTTTTTTAAATTAAATTTTCGAAATATACAATTAAATGATTTTGAATAATTGAAATTTTGTAAAATTTAATTGAAAATAATTGATTTTTTCAACTATTTTATTACAATTTTTGAAAATCTTAAAAAACTTTAATTGCAAATTTTGAAAATAATTGAAACCTCAAAAATTTTAATTAAAAATCTTCAAATGTTTAAAAATGAAAATGGCTGAAAATTAATGAAAATTTTCTTCCAAAAATTATATTAGAATATTTTTGAAAAAAGGAATTATTAGAATTTTTCATTCTAATTTTTTTAAATTCGATTGTTTTCAACATTTTCAATTACATATTTCCAAAAATTCAAATATGAACAAATAGTAATAACATTAAAATTTTTTAGAATTATTTTTAACATTTTGGAGAAAAAAAATCGTGTTCTTAATTTGTAAATAATATTATTGAAAAAATTAATTAGTTTTTTTAAATTATACAAAAACTAGTATGACTACACACACCGCGTCAAATTTTTTAAGAAATGTAATTTTTCTAACAGTTTTCCTTTAAATTTGAAAAAATTAATAATTATTTGAACTACTCTTGTAGAAATCGCCAAGATATTTTAAACAACTTAAATATTTTTGATTAAATAATTGAATTTTCGAGTATGAATGGAACAATACTGTTAATAGTAAGTTCAATTCGAAATTTTCTCGAAATTCAATTATTTACAAATTTTTAAATAGAATTCTTCAAAAATACGATTATATTTCAAAATAATTTTTAAAAGTAAACAAATAATATCCATTAAGTTATAAAATTTATTTCAATGAAATTTAACAAAAATTTTAATTGTTTCAATTTCTTAAAATTATTTTCGGAAATAAAATTATTTTTAAAAAAATCCAATTACAATTTTCCAAGAAACAAATTTTTTCGTAATTTCTAAATTAAATTATTCAAAATATTAATACTTTCTGTTAAAGAAAAATTTAAATTTATTTTTTCACAGGAATTAAAATTTCAAATAATTTCAATGAAAAACCCTTTGAAATTTTATCACTTCTACAAATTGTAACTGTAATTCTTGCAAAATTCAATTATTTTCTTAAAATTTTTGAATAAAATTATTCAAAACTTTTAAAATTTTTAAAGAAAAATAATGTGATAATTTTTAATTTTTCAAAATAAAAGTTTTTAATATTTTTATACTTTTGTTTCTCTTCAATTTTTAAAGAATTTAATTTAAAAATCTTTTAAAATTTGATTAATTTCTACAGTTTCTTCTATAACGCTTTAAAAATTCAATTATTGTCGAAGATTTTAACTAAAATTTTTTTAAAATGAATTTCTATCAGAATTCAACTACGGGAATTGAATTATTTAAAAAGAATAATTTTTACAAAATCATAAATTAATGTACATACTTTCAAAAATACAATTATATTTATAGATGACAAAATAAAATTTTTTAAAATATAAAATTTATTTTAATGAAATTTTATAAAGTTTTCAATTGTTTCAATTTTTTTAAAATTAATTTCCGATATTCAAGTATCAAAATAAATAAATTATAAATATAAATATAAATAAATATAAATAAATAAATTGTTTCAGAATTTTAAAATTAAATCTTTCAAATTTTTAGTTTCGTTTGTAAACAAAGGTGCAATTTCTGTTTTTCAATCTTTATTTTTATCAAAATTATAATTTATTTTTTAGAAATAAATGGAAAAAATTTGTATAATTTCTATTTGATGTTTTTTTCTTTTTTGAAAAAGAAAAAGACAAATAAATTTGTACCATTTATATTTCTTCATCACAATTTTTTAAACTAAATCTCAATATTAGTTTGTTAATAAATATTAATTAATAATTAATAATAATAATAATTTATTATTTAGAAGGTTCTTAATAATTGACCTAGAATGTGCGCTTATCTTTTGCCGTATTGTATTAGTATTGTTTTTAATATGTAATTCTAAAAAATGTTCATTAATTTAAAACATTTATTGATTTTATTTATTTATTTTTTTGCTTCAATGCGCTAAGTTTCGAAATGAGGTTTAAATTAGAAACATTTACAAAATAGAAAATCAATAAACTGGTTTTAAGTTTTATTTTATTTTTTTAAGGGGGGGTAGGGTCTAACGGGTGAAAGAAGGATCTTTTTGTGAATTTTTATGAAAGTAACGGTAAAAGTTTACATGTTCATTTTTTTGCATATTGTTAGTTAGTATTTGAAGAGGATTTTGTAGAATTTTTGGTTTAAAAAGTAAAACAATAAAAAAAAACGTTAGGGTTGGGCAAAATTATTCTTCTAACCAAATTCATTTCATTTTTTGACTTCCGATAATGTGTTAATTAATGATGATGTTCACCGCAAATCAAAACCTTTTTAAGGAAATCGTTTTCGAAATTATACATTTTTTTTATTTATAGACGTATTTTCAAGCTTTACGATTTTTAATAACAATCTTTTTTTTCTAAAATATCATGAAAAAGAACAAGAAAGAAAGAAAGCTTTTTTTTATTTACAAAAAATGAATTATTATTATTAATGCATTATAATAAATAATTGCATTAAAATTTGAATTGCAGGTCCAGTTTTTGAAGAAAGCCGTTGACATTCTATGCTCCTGCCGGCAAACAATGATGTACACGTATGTTTTTGCATACTACTTAAGGAAAAATAATCAATCTGTGATTTTCGAGGACAACCAAAAGGATCTTGAAGGTGCAACAGAATGTTTGTCTGAATATTTGGAGAGAGAAATTACGAGTGAAAATCTTGCTGATATAAAACAAAAAGTACAAGATAAGTACAGGTAAATTTCTTTTATTCATTTTCTACTGAAAATCATTTTTAAATAACTTCTTATTTTTGGTCAGTCATGAAATTTAAAACATTTAAAAATATTCAATAATTTTCTTTTCTTCCAGATACTGCGACAGTCGACGAAAAGTTCTGCTTGAACATGTTCACGAGGGATACGAAAAAGAATGGTGGGACTATTTAGATTAAATCTAAAAACAATTGTTTTTTGGTCTCCGTAAAACTGTGATAAATCCGGAAAACCAATACAACACAGAAAATCAAACAAAAGACTAAACACAAAAAAGGGGAAAGGATCCAAGAAAATTAAATGGAAAACAAAAAAAAAAAAAGATTGTTTCTAATTTTGAAAACGTAAAAAAAATTTTTTTCTTTCAAAATTTAAAACTTCGCGTTTTAATTCTATATTATTTATTATATTTGAAATATATTTTTCTTGTTATTAAAGAAACCCGTAGAAACCAAAAAAAAAGAACAAGGTTTTACATAATTGACTTTCCAAAACTGTATTCTCGAAAAAACTGAAAAAAGTTTTTTAAAAAAAAAGTTATGAAAAGAAAAATAATTGAAAAACACGGGAAAATTAACTATGTATTTCTAAAGTTATTTAACTTCGTATAAGATCCTCTCAACTCTTTATTCAATCCACGCACGGCTTACTTAATTTCATTTTTTCATTCACAATTTATTAAAAAAAATAAGGATAATACCGCGAGAATTGTCCGCTTAAAACTGCCAATAATTTAACTCAATCATAAAATGTTCCCATTAAAGTGAAAATATTTTTAAAAATAATAATACCTCTGTGATGACTTCATTAATTGATATAATCACTTAATTGGCTATTCTGAAAATGAGAAGAAAAAAAGAAATTTTTTCTAAATATGCAGATGCAGTATTCTACTTGTACGTTTTCATAGATTTAACGACAATTTTTGAACACTTTCTTGGATAAAATCTATAGAACGCGTTTATAAAATGGAAACTGGTATTTAAAAATACACGGTTTCTTTATTGTCGGTTCTAGAAAAATTAAAGAAAACAAAAAATGAAAAAAAACAGACAAAAGGAAAATCGTCTGCACATATTGGGAACTTAATTGTGTTCCATTGTACAGTTTATGTAGTTATATATACATAGAGTCTTATAAATATATTCGTACATTGCTATGTAGAAATGAAAGTAGATGTATGTTAAGAGATCATAGAAAATAACTAATTATATTAATAAAAAACAAAATCAAGTAGTACCTTTTGAGAATTACTTATATTAAAATTGTTACTTTTTTTTCGTTTTATCTTAAAAATTAGGGAAGAAAACGAGATGACATGAAATTAAGAACAGAAAGAATAAGGACGTCGTTGTGATTTAATTTATTTATAACTAAAAATTTAAAAATTAGTTCTAAACTAAATTTGTTTTTTTAAAAAAAAAATATATATATCAATTTCTGTTCGTTTAAAATATTTATAAGTTTATCAACATTTTTACCTTTGCATGATCCATAAAAATAGTAACTTTCACGAAAACCAAAGCATTAACATTATTTTATGTTTAGAACAATAGTTACGTAACATTAATAGTGAATTTATTATTTTTTTCAAGTAATCAGCGATAATTTGTTTTTAATTTTTATTGGAAAAATAATTATATAGAAAGAATTAGACGCAAAGGATAGTTTTTGAAAAATATTTTCTACATTTATATCTAGTACTTTAATATATAAGTCATCAAAATTCACCATGACTTTAATTTAATGTGAAAAAGTAGTTTGAGTTCTATTCAGTAATTACCTATAACAAACGTAGTTGTTTCTATTTTATTTAAACAATATAAAAGAACATTTTATTTTATAAACAACTTTTTTTATTTCTGCATCTCGGTAACGAATGAAAATTTTGTAGGTTTTCTATTATAATATCTCAGGGTTGTCACAGATCGAGGAAATCAGGAAAAGTAAAATTGGTCAGGAATTTTTGTTAAAAGTACTGGAAAACATGAAATTTTTAGAATACGTAAGAAAATTCTGAATTTTGTATGTTTTTTTGTTTGCCTCATAAACTGAAATTACTACGAATTCTGATTTCTATAAATCTTTATAAATTGTAACATTCTTCGCAGAAATTCAATTATTTTCAAAAAATTTCCTCAATTCAATGATTTTCAATATCTACCATTTCAATAAAATTTTCCAAAAGAATTCAATTATTTAAAAAAAATTTAATATAATTCTAGACACAAATATTTAATTATTTTCATAAATAATAAAAATATCACTGGAATTCACTTACTTTCAAATTTTTTATGAATTTATTCGAAATAATTCAATTATTTTCCAAAATAATAAGACTCATTGAGAAACATCAATTATTTTTAATATAATTTTACAAGAATTGATCAAAAAATATAATTATTCTTAAAAATTTAATTTCACTTCCTCGAAAAAATCAATTATTTAAAAAAAAGGTTTTTTCAAAATTCTTTGCAGAAATTCAATTATATTTACAAAAATATTAGAATTTTTCACAGGAATTCAATTATTTTCAAATATTTTAATAAAATTGTTCAAAAGAAATCAATTCTTTTAAATACATAATTTCTATTGAATTTTTTTTAAATAATTCAATTATTATTTTATATTTTAATAAAATTCTTCCCAAGAATTCAATTATTTACATTTAAATAATTCTTCAAAAAAAAAATTCAATTCTGTTGATAAATAACAAAATTATTCCCGAAAATTCAATTATTTTCAGATAAATTACAATATTCATCACAAGAATTCAATTGTTTTTAAAAATAATAAATATTTTGAAAATTTGCAATTTAATTAAAATTGTTCAAGTTAATTTTTAAAAATTCTAAAAAAATAATTTTAAAAAAATTTGACAAAGTTCTTTTCAAGAATTCAATTATTTTGACAAGTAATACAATTCTTTGCCGAAATTCAATTATTTTTATAAACTTGAATAAAATTCGTTACAAGAATTCATTTATTTATATAAATAATAAAATTTTTTAAAGAAATTCAATTATTTTCAAAAGTTATAAAAATTCTTCGCAAAACTTCAATTATGTTCAAAAATTTAGAAAAAATTATCGTCAAAATTTCAATTATCTTTATAAATAATAAAATTCTTTTTCGAAATTCAATTATTTCTAATAATTTTAATAAAATTCTTTGCAAAATTTCACAAGAATTCAATAATATACCAAAGGGCTTAGGGGGTTAAGTGTGCAAAAACTGCCCCCGCATCTATTTTTCTCAAATTTGGCCCATATATTACTATCCATATGACTATAACTTTCTGCAATTTTGAACTCAAAATTCGCTTTTTTGGGGGAGTTATGGAGGGGGAAAGCAAAATCAAAAAACTTATTTTTCTCGAAAACTACTGAACCGATTTTAATGAAATTTTAAGAGGTTGTAAATATAGATAAGACGATTTTAGAAAAAAAAATCAAAATTTTTTTTTCAAAAAAAATTTTTGAAAAAATTTTTTGAAATTTTCAAAATTTTTTTTTAGGGTTATTTTTTGAAGTGACCACTTTCTCTTTTGTTGTAAAAAGTACCTTATAATGTTCCCTTTAACATATATTTTTTCCAAATTTTTTAAAAATATAGTTTTTGAGTAAAATGTCAAAAACCACCACGTACGGTAATGCACATATATACATATGGGCAATTTCATGTGATAGGGTATAGCCAAATAAGTATGGAAAAAGTGACCCGAATATATTTTTCCCATTCATTCCTACCCACTTAAAAATAACTTTTTGAAATTTTTAACTCAAAATTTTGAGTTTTTTGGAACTTATGGAGAGGAAAAAAATCGAAAAACGCATTATTCTCAAAAACTACTGTATGCATTTTAATCAGCTTTGAATATGTTGAAAAGACAATTAAAGAGATTCCAAAAAAAAATTCAAATTTTTTTTTCAAAAAATTTTAAAAATCTTTTTTTTTTTGAAAATTTTAAAATGAAAATTTTTTGAAATTTTCAAAAAAAAATTTTCTAGTTCTATTAAAGTGACATTTTTATGTATTTTCTCATTTCATTCTCTTATGTGATCTACTTAATAAAAAAATTTTGTCCGACATGATTTTAGGGTGTGTCACGGTAAATAACTCAAAAACATACCCGGTACATTTTTATATTGTATGTAAATGGTTAATTAATTAATTATTTATTTAATTACAAATTAATACTTAGGGGTTTTCTGAATACAAATCTGTAATCGATGTTAAAAAAAATTATTTCCAAAGAAAAATCCAAAAAATTTTATTTTGATTGGGCATTTAAAATTTTTTTCTTTTTGGATCGTTGAAGCGGTAGATCACACTTTTTTATTTAACTTTTTTAACAGTCTTACTTTTTAAAAAATGATGTCGATATTGAGATATTTAGAGTGTAACACGGTAAAAAAAACTCAAAAAATCCTAAAATTTGATTTTAAAATTTTCCAAATTTTTTTGTTTGTCTAAAAATATTTTTTTATATCAACTTTAGATTTGTATTTAGCAACCTCAATAACCCACTAGTAATAAGTTGCAAAAATATTTGACAGGTTTTTTAAAATTAATCATTTACATACAACATAAAAATGTACCGGGTATGTTTTTGGGTTATTTACCGTGACACACCCTAAAATCATGTCGGACAAAATTTTTTTATTAAGTAGATCACATAAGAGAATGAAATGAGAAAATACATAAAAATGTCACTTTAATAGAACTAGAAAATTTTTTTTTGAAAATTTCAAAAAATTTTCATTTTAAAATTTTCAAAAAAAAAGATTTTTAAAATTTTTGAAAAAAAATTTTGAATTTTTTTTTTGGAATCTCTTTAATTGTCTTTTCAACATATTCAAAGCTGATTAAAATGCATACAGTAGTTTTTGGGAATAATGCGTTTTTCGATTTTTTTCCTCTCCATAAGTTCCAAAAAACTCAAAATTTTGAGTTAAAAATTTCAAAAAGTTATTTTTAAGTGGGTAGGAATGAATGGGAAAAATATATTCGGGTCACTTTTTCCATACTTATTTGGCTATACCCTATCACATGAAATTGCCCATATGTATATATGTGCATTACCGTACGTGGTGGTTTTTGACATTTTACTCAAAAACTATATTTTTAAAAAATTTGGAAAAAATATATGTTAAAGGGAACATTATAAGGTACTTTTTACAACAAAAGAGAAAGTGGTCACTTCAAAAAATAACCCTAAAAAAAAATTTTGAAAATTTCAAAAATTTTTTTCAAAAATTTTTTTTGAAAAAAAAATTTTGATTTTTTTTTTAAAATCGTCTTATCTATATTTACAACCTCTTAAAATTTCATTAAAATCGGTTCAGTAGTTTTCGAGAAAAATAAGTTTTTTGATTTTGCTTTCCCCCTCCATAACTCCCCCAAAAAAGCGAATTTTGAGTTCAAAATTGCAGAAAGTTATAGTCATATGGATAGTAATATATGGGCCAAATTTGAGAAAAATAGATGCGGGGGCAGTTTTTGCACACTTAACCCCCTAAGCCCTTTTTAATAGATTCCTTCGAAATAATTCAATTATTTTTATAAGTAATAAAATTTTCACAGGAATTCAATTATTTAATATAAAAAAATTTCATAAAATTTTTCGAGAAATATCAATTATTTAAAAAGATTTTTAGAAAATTCGTCGCAAGAATTGAATTATTTAAAAAAAACTTAACAAAGTTCTTTTCAAGAATTCAATTATTTTTATATATAATAAAATTCTTCACCGAAATTCAATTATTTTTATAAACTTGAATAAAATTCGTTGTAAGAATTCAATTATTTTCAAAAGTAATAAAATTATCTATATATATAAAATCAGACTTTTGTCTGTACATTGCTCAGAACTTTAAATTTCGCACATAATTATTCGTTTTAGGCATCAAGGATTCCAAATATGCCAATAAAAAATTTCGTGTATGTATGTATGTATGTATGTATGTATGCATGTGTGTCGGTATGTCACAGAATCTTTGTTCGCGCATCACTTAAAAACGGCTGAACCATTTGGAACCAAATTTTGCAGAATGTTAGACCTTGGGCCAAGGAAGGTTTATAAATTCACAGATTTGAAAAATATTAATTAGAACGGGAGATATTCAATTTTTTCAAAAAATTCAAAAATCAAAAATTTTCAAATTTTACATTTTTTTAAAAAATGCTTTCAAACTTTCTATAATTGAGTATAACATGTTATTTAGTCACATTTTAGAATAGTTTTGCCAAAAATAATGTCCTATAACTAAGATGTAAGTATAAAATTTTTTTTAAAAAATTCAAGAAATCGAAATTTTTCAAACTTTATATTTCTTAATAAATTGCTTTTTAAACTCTCTATAATTGAGTATTACATGTTATTTAGTCACATTTTCGCATAATTTTGCACAAAAAATGATATGACTAAGATGTAAGTATAAAAATATTTTCGAT